TTTAGCTCTCTCCCCCAACTGTGATCCTGCATTGTCACCCTGCCTCATGGGCTTCCCATGGGGACTGCAAGTGGCAGTTTCAACACATTGCACAGGTGTGGTCCATTGTTCAGGAAATTCACTCCCTGCAGTGCAGGTAGACAGGAAGTAGCTGCAAAGAGGCTGTAGGAGATCAGCAGCACTGAGATGCAACAAAGGATTAAAATGTTTAACAAAGTATTTAATGAAAAACGTCAGTTGTTGCTTTAGCAAATGTTGGAGTCAATTTTATTTTTTATGCGGAGATCAGGGGAGCCATCCCTGTTTATATCGGAGGTTTTCAGGACTGGCTTATCTGGAAGGAAATCTTCGTAGGTGGTAATAAAATTCTCTCTTCCCTTGTTGTATCTGTCCCCTCGGGCGATGTACAAGGTTTGGGACCGTTTCCATGGCAACAGATGCACAACACGCACCGCCGCTGAATTGGGCTGTAATTTTATTTTATGGAAATGTAGATCATTGTTTACATTGTTACCTTTTTCCTGTCACCGGTGATACATGTGTGTCTTCCCGTCCTCGGAAAAAAATGTTCTTTGACCGCATTCTGTCCGTTCTTCAATTTTCAGACGTACCCTGCCGCTAACAGATTTTATTTGCTACATGATCACACTTCATCCCCCTCTCTTTTGCTACTTGAATGTTGCACGGCATGTTTCCAACTGTCATCAAGTGTGCAGACATTTAAAAAAAAATCATAAAAAAATGGACTTAGCATCAGATACCTTCCACTTTCAGAATACAATGATCAGCAGCTGCAGATCGAGGGAAATTTACCAGCAAGCCTCTTCAACAGATGTTGATCAAGCGATCAACTTCTGTTGAATGGTGACGGCCAAGCGCTGATCAATCTGCTCAAGCGAAGCCCCTATACCCCCTGCCAGGACATTGTATTCTGACACAACAAGTCACTGTCAGAATACTAATCAGCAGCTGCTGATTGAGGGAACTTTTCCAAAAAGCCTCTTCAACAGAAGCCGATCAGGACATTGTATTCTGACAGAAGTACCCGCCAATGTCAGAATACTGATCAGCAGCTGCAGCTCATTGGCTGCAACTGCTGATTGAGGGGGATTTTCCAAAAAGCCTCTTCAACAGAAGTCGATCAGGACATTGTATTCTGACAGAGGTACCCGCCAATGTCAGGATACTGATCAGCAGCTGCTGATTGAGGGAACTTTTCCAAAAAGTATCTTCAACAGAAGTCGATCAGGACATTGTATTCTGATAGAGGTACCTGCCAATGTCAGGATACTGATCAGCACTGCATCATTGGCTGCACTGCTGATTGAGGGGGCTGCAGAAGTCGATGACATTGATTTGACAGAGGGCCAATGTCAGGATACTGAACTTTTGAGGGAACCTTTCCAAAAAGCCTCTTCAACAGAAGTCGATCAGGACATTGTATTCTGATAGAGGTACCCGCCAATGTCAGGATACTGATCAGCAGCTGCAGCTGCTGATTGGGGGAACTTTTCCAAAAAGCCTCTTCAACAGAAGCCGATCAGGACATTGTATGACAGAGGTATGTTTGATCAGCAGCTGCAGCTGCTGATTGAGGGGAATTTTCCAAAAAGCCTCTTCAACAGAAGTCGATCAGGGTATTTTATTCTGAGAGAGGTACCTGCCAATGTCAGAATACTGATCAGCAGCTGCAGCTCGTTGGCTGCAGCTGCTGATTGAGGGAAATTTTCCAAAAAGCCTCTTCAAGAGAAGTCGATCAGGACATTGTATTCTGACAGAGGTACCCGCTAATGTCAGAATACTGATCAGCAGCTGCAGCTCATTGGCTGCAGCTGCTGATTGAGGGAAATAATCCAAAAAGCCTCTTCAACAGAAGTCGATTAGGACATTGTATTCTGACAGAAGTACCCGCCGGTGTCAGAATACACTGAACAGCAGTTGCAGCTAATTGGCTGAAGCTGCTGATCAAGGGAAGTTTACCAGCATCCTCTTCAACAGATGCTGATCAAGCGATCAACTTCTGTTGAACGGTGACAGCCACACGCTGATCAATCTGCTCAAGCGAATCCCCTATACCCCCTGCCAGGACATTGTATTCTGACAGAGGTACAAGTCGCTGTCAGAATACTGATCTGCAGCTGCTGATTGAGGGAAATTTTCCAAAAAGCCTCTTCAACAGAAGTCGATCAGGACATTGTATTCTGACAGAGGTACCCGCTAATGTCAGAATACTGATCAGCAGCTGCAGCTCATTGGCTGCAGCTGCTGATTGAGGGAAATTTTTCCAAAAAGCCTCTTCAACAGAAGTCGATCAGGGTATTTTATTCTGAGAGAGGTACCCGCCAATGTCAGAATACTGATCAGCAGCTGCAGCTCATTGGCTGCAGCTGCTGATTGAGGGGAATTTTCTAAAAAGCCTCTTCAACAGAAGTCGATCAGGACATTGTATTCTGACAGAGGTACCCACCGACATCAGAATACACTGGTCAGCAGCTGCAGCTCATTAGCTGCAGCTGCTGATTGAGGGAAATTTTCCAAAAAGCTTCTTCAACAGAAGTTGATCAGGACATTGTATTCTGGCAGAGGTACCCGCCAATGTCAGGATACTGATCAGCAGCTGCAGCTGCTGATTGAGGGGAATTTTCCAAAAAGCCTCTTCAACAGAAGTCGATCAGGACATTGTGTTCTGACAGAGGTACCCGCTAATGTCAGAATACTGATCAGCAGCTGCAGCTCATTGGCTGCAGCTGCTAATTGAGGGAATTTTTCCAAAAAGCCTCCTTAACAGAAGTCGATCAGGACATTGTATTCTGACAGAAGTACCCACCGGTGTCAGAATACACTGATCAGCAGTTGCAGCTAATTGGCTGCAGCTGCTGATCAAGGGAAGTTTACCAGCAAGCCTCTTCAACAGATGTTGATCAACTTCTGTTGAACGGTGACAGCCACACGCTGATCAATCTGCTCAAGCGAATATCCTATACCCTGTCAGGACATTGTATTCTGACAGAGGTACAAGTCGCTGTCAGAATACTGATCTGCAGCTGCTGATTGAGGGAAATTTTCAAAAAGCCTCTTCAGCAGAAGTCGATCAGGACATTGTTTTCTGACAGAGGTACGCACCGACATCAGAATACACTGATCAGCAGCTGCAGCTCATTGGCTGCAGCTGCTGATTGAGGGAAATTTTCCAAAAAGCTTCTTCAACAGACGTTGATCAGGACATTGTATTCTGACAGAGGTACCCGCCAATGTCAGAATACTGATCAGCAGCTCATTGACTGCAGCTGCTGATTAAGGCCTCCAATCGAGGGAAATTTTTCAAGTCCCTTTGACAGACGTTGGATGTCTTGTTCAACTGCTATTGAACAAGACATCCACACATCTATCCATCCATGCAAGAGAATCCCCCCTGCCGGGATATTGTATTCTGACAGTGGGACCAGCCGCTGTCAGAATACACTGACAGCTGGCTGTAACCAATTAGCTGCAGCTGCAGATCAATTGTGGGAAATTGTTTCAACAAGTCTTTTTGACAGAAGTCGATCAAATTCTATTGAACAGGACATCCACACGTCGATCCATCCATGCAAGAGAATCCCCTCTGCTGGGACTTTGTATTCTGACAGCAGTACCAGCCACTGTCAGAATACACTGATCAGTGGATGCCGCTTCAGGGAAATGTTCGAGCAAGTCCCTTCAACAGAGGTCAATAAACGATCAACTTATGTTGTGTGGGGAACAGCCCCATCCACACAAAAGAATTCCCCCTACCGGGACATTGTATTCTGATAGAGGTACCCGCCAATGTCAGAATACACTGATTAGCTGCCGCAGCTGCTGATCGAGGGAAATTGTCCAAAAAGCCCCTTCATCAGAAGTGAATCAAGCGATCAACTTCTGTTGAGCTGGACAGCCAAATGCCGATCCATCCATGCCCCATACTCCCCCCTGCCGGGAGTACCTGCCGCTGTCAGAAACTGATCAGCAGCTGCAGCTAATTGACTGCAGGTGCCAATCGAGGGTAATTTTTCAGCAAGTCCCTTCAACAGAAGTCAATCAAATGCTCAACTTCTGTTCAGTGGTGGCAGCCACACGCTGATCCATCCACACAAAATATAAAAGCAATTTATAGCTTTCAACGGATGACTTCATTATTATATTTTGAGTTTTTATTTCTTTTCATTGACTGGTATTATGTTCTGCTGCCAGTCCAGAAGTAAAGCTTGGAGTTCTGTAGATCTGTCATGTTCTCGGATTCTGTCTTCTGTCTGTGGGGGCAGAGCTGGATGTAGAAGAGGTACTAAGTGCCCGTCTTGTTTTTTCTGCTACATACTCAAAAGAGTTAACCTTTCCTCTTGACCGCCATTACTTTTGCATTCAGATTGGGGGAAGAGCCTTTCATCACAGAAGACCCTGCTAACCTTCTCAGCCCAGTTCCTTGCTTCTCCCACGCCCCGTCTTCGGAGTTCACTGACTACTTATACACCTGAACTTTTCTCACCCTCCCCGGTCACTTTCTACAGGTCCCTGATCTGTGAACTGGTGACAGGCTGGGAAAGATTCCAATGGCTTCCATTCATTGTTGAATATTCAAGATAGTTTGCGGCTCTTATTGTGTCCTACCTGGTGTGGTTGGGCTTTTGACGTATCATTGGGAGCGATCAGCTGTGTCCTGCACCGATCATGTGCTCCGTTTTTAAAGGTTTGTTGTGTAGAACTACCCATAAGAATGAGAATGACGGAGTCCGTGAGATCCTTGCTTTTTTGGGTTTTGTGCTGGAAGTGAGGACATACCTTCTGTTGTAAGAAGGCAGTGCTATATCTCAGAGTACTTTGGAGGTGGGCTTTTTGGTTCCTGTAATGGTTGTATTCCCTGGACTCACATGCCCTAGTAATATAGAGCAGTCTTTCTCCACCTTTTTTCTTCAGAAGAACCCCTGTTTAAACCAATTCATTGGAGGCCAGTGGGAAGAATGACCCTTTACATTGGATATCAGTGGGAAAAATGCTCCTTACATTGGGGGTCAGTGGGAAGAATGTTCCTTACATTGGTGATCAGTGGGAAGAATGTTCCTTACATTGGTGATCAGTGGGAAGAATGTTCCTTACATTGGTGATCAGTGGGAAGAATGCTCCTTCCATTGGGGGTCAGTGGGAAGAATGCTCCTTACATTGGGGGTCAATGTGAATTATGTCCCTTACATTGGTGATCAGTGGGAAGAATGTCCCTTACATTGGTGATCATCAGTGGGAAGAATGTCCCTTACATTGGTGATCAGTGGGAAGAATGTTCCTTACATTGGTGATCAGTGGGAAGAATGTTCCCTACATTGGTGATCAGTGGGAAGAATGTCCCTTACATTGGTGATCAGTGGGAAGAATGTCCCTTACATTGGTGATCAGTGGGAAGAATGTCCCTTACATTGGTGATCAGTGGGAAGAATGCTCCTTACATTGGTGATCAGTGGGAAGAACGCTCCTTACATTGGTGATCAGTGGGAAGAATGTCCCTTACATTGGTGATCAGTGGGAAGAATGTTCCTTACATTGGTGATCAGTGGGAAGAACGCTCCTTACATGATGGTGATTACAGTGGTGATCAGTGGGAAGAACGCTCCTTACAGTGGTGATCAGTGGGAAGAATGTCCCTTACATTGGTGATCAGTGGGAAGAATGTCCCTTACATTGGTGATCAGTGGGAAGAATGTCCCTTACATTGGTGGTCAGTGGGAAGAATGTCCCTTACATTGGTGATCAGTGGGAAGAATGTCCTTACATTGGTGATCAGTGGGAAGAATGCTCCTTACATTGGTGATCAGTGGGAAGAATGCTCCCTACATTGGCAATCATCAGTGGGAAGAATGCTCCTTACATTGGTGATCAGTGGGAAGAATGTCCCTTACATTGGTGATCAGTGGGAAGAATGTTCCTTACATTGGTGGTCGGTGGGAAGAATGTTCCTTACATTGGTGGTCAGTGGGAAGAATGTCCCTTACATTGGTGATCAGTGGGAAGAATGTCCCTTACATTGGTGATCAGCGGGAAGAATGCTCCTTACATTGGTGATCAGTGGGAAGAATGTCCCTTACATTGGTGATCAGTGGGAAGAATGTTCCTTACATTGGTGGTCATTGGGAAGAATGTTCCTTACATTGGTGGTCAGTGGGAAGAATGCTCCTTACATTGGTGATCAGTGGGAAGAATGTCCCTTACATTGGTGATCAGTGGGAAGAATGTTCCTTACATTGGTGATCAGTGGGAAGAATGTCCCTTACATTGGTGATCAGTGGGAAGAATGTCCTTACATTGGTGATCAGTGGGAAGAATGTTCCTTACATTGGTGGTCAGTGGGAAGAATGTTCCTTACATTGGTGGTCAGTGGGAAGAATGCTCCTTACATTGGTGATCAGTGGGAAGAATGTCCCTTACATTGGTGATCAGTGGGGAAGAATGTTCCTTACATTGGTGATCAGTGGGAAGAATGTCCTTACATTGGTGATCAGTGGGAAGAATGTCCTTTACATTGGTGATCAGTGGGAAGAATGTTCCTTACATTGGTGGTCAGTGGGAATAATGTTCCTTACATTGGTGGTCCATGCTAACGGTGTCTAATACTGTCCCTGTTCGCTGTATGCCTGTAAATGCTACAAATATGATATAATCATACAACAAATATACAGTATCTTTATGCTTTAAAAGTCTTAGCCTTTCATTGAAACAATGTTAAAGTGCTGGGAAGGTCCAGTTGTGACTGTGTGAGGATGGTCCAATGGGCGATCATTGGCTGTCTGTGGGTTTGTTCAGTCTTGTTTCTTAGCTATAAGCAGCTCCTGGCACCGGTGCTGAATGCTCTGAATCACTGCCGGGTTTTAAGTTGTTATTTTGAAAACCGATCTTCCCTCCTAATACCTGCACTTGTCCTGATAATACCGCAGATTACCAACCCCAGAGATGTGACGGATGTCCCTACCTCTCAGCGTGAAACACCTTCCAGTATTACCGGCCTCCTCTGCCACGTCCCCCGCACAGATCTCTGTAAACATCCAGACTTCTGTGTACACCTGCCAGATGAATACGTAGTTGAATTGCATATACAGTATGTTTACTGTGTTACTTGCCAAAGGATTTAGAATTCTGTTCAGACGGTCTTATGATTAACATATCTCTATGACACTGCACAGTCAGGGGGGTCATTTTGCTGGTGTATGTTTACTGCATTGGGATCATCTCTCAGCTCAATGGATGGAGATGATCCCTGATTATTGGAAGGAGGTGACCCTTGTTCCTTGGACGAAGGTGATCCCTGCTCCTTGGATGAAGGTGATTCCTGCTCCTTGAATGAAGGTGATCCCTGCTCCTTGAATGAAGGTGATCCCTGCTCCTTGAATGAAGGTGATCCCTGCTCCTTGAATGAAGGTGATCCCTGCTCCTTGATAGAGGTGATCCCTGCTCCTTGGATGGAGGTGATCCCTGCTCCTTGGATGGAGGTGATCCCTGCTCCTTGGATGGAGGTGATCCTGCTCCTTGGATGGAGGTGATCCCTGCTCCTTGGATGGAGGTGATCTCTGCTCCTTGGATGGAGGTGATCTCTGCTCCTTGGATGGAGGTGATCCATGCTTCCTTGGATGGAGGTGATCTCTGCTTGGATGGAGGTGATCATGCTTCTTGGATGGAGGTGATCTCTGCTCCTTGGATGGAGGTGATCTCTGCTTCTTGGATGGAGGTGATCCCTACTCCTTGGATGAAGTGATCCTTGCTCCTTGGATAAAGGTGATCCCAGCTCCATGAATGGAGGTGATCTCTGCTCCATGAATGGAGGTGATCTCTGCTCCATGAATGGAGGAGATCTCTGCTCCTTGGATGGAGGCGATCCCTGCTTAATGAGTAGAGGTGAACCCTACTCAGTGGATGGAGTTGATGATGCTGATCGTTCATTGAGTGAGCTGGTGGCAGGAAGGCGACTCAAGAAAATAAGCCAAGAAATAATCTTTTCCATTTTCTGACATCCTAGCTCTCTGAGTATTAATTAGTAATCAAGATACCCAGAAACTTAGAAATTCCCTTGAAAAAGTAGTTGTGACATCATCAGTCTGCTGTACATAGTTTGTGCAAACAGCAGAGCTGTGGGAGGGGCCCAGCAGCTCCACCCATTACAGAAAAGTAAAGGAGGGGGCGGAGATGAGGCCAGGCCCCCTGCACAAGGGAAGGGTGCAGCAATGAGCGGTCTTTATTACAGGAAAGACTCACACTGGATTACTGCACAGATCTGGAAGAAATACACAAAGCACCCCAATATTCAAGGAGGAATACATACTGTATGGCTCCTGTATTTAGACAATATTTGATTATTCCACAGTTTAGCTGTAATGGCTCGTGGTTGGATACACTTTCAACTGTGGCATAGGGCATCAGAATATTATTTTTATTAGTATTACTACTGTTCTGTAATATTAATATTTTGGTGTAGAGCTGGCAGTGAGGTCAGGACAAGGCTAGATTCCAGGGATATTTATGACACAGATTTCGGAAATCTGCCTCCATCTGCTCAGCTGGAAAAAACACGCTAACAGCTGCCCTCCCCCGCTCTGTGTAGGCCGCCCCACTCATGCTGGTTTGATGTCCTGTCACTTGTTTTCCTTTGCTTTGTTTTAACAGCCAACGTAGCATGACAGTGTTATAGTTCCCCTCCCGTGACCAGCGTGTGACCGTAAACTGATATCGGGATATGTGTGGTCAGAGACTTGGGAACAAAACCCCTACTTATATATGTAGCAGCCACAGAGGTGGCCTTCATTTTGTGCTGCCACATACATGTTTCGCAAATGCGCTCCATTGCATGACTCCAGTACTGTGACCATGTTGTTATTGACAATCAGGAGCCCATAGGATGAGCTCCTGATCTCATGATCACTGAGAGATCACATGATCCGGAAGCCCATGAAATGCGTTGCATCCCCATCCTGAGACCGTTTGGTACATGATCACCAGTGTAAGGAGCATTCTTCACACTGATCACCAATGTAAGGAGCATTCTTCCCACTGATCACCAATGTAAGGAACATTCTTCCCACTGATCACCAATGTAAGGGACATTCTTCCCACTGATCACCAATGTAAGGGACATTCTTCCCACTGATCACCAATGTAAGGGACATTCTTCCCACTGATCACCAATGTAAGGAGCATTCTTCCCACTGATCACCAATCTAAGGAGCATTCTTCCCACTGATCACCAATGTAAGGAACATTCTTCCCACTGATCACCAATGTAAGGGACATTCTTCCCACTGATCACCAATGTAAGGGACATTCTTCCCACTGATCACCAATGTAAGGGACATTCTTCCCACTGATCACAATGTAAGGAGCATTCTTCCCACTGATCACCAATGTAAGGAGCATTCTTCCCACTGATCACCAATGTAAGGAGCATTCTTCCCACTGATCACCAATGTAAGGGACATTCTTCCCACTGATCACCAATGTAAGGGACATTCTTCCCACTGATCACCAATGTAAGGGACATTCTTCCCACTGATCATCAATGTAAGGAGCATTCTTCCCACTGATCACCAATGTAAGGAGCATTCTTCCCACTGATCACCAATGTAAGGGACATTCTTCCCACTGATCACCAATGTAAGGGACATTCTTCCCACTGATCATCAATGTAAGGAGCATTCTTCCCACTGATCACCAATGTAAGGAACATTCTTCCCACTGATCACCAATGTAAGGAGCATTCTTCCCACTGATCACCAATGTAAGGGACATTCTTCCCACTGATCACCAATGTAAGGGACATTCTTCCCACTGATCACCAATGTAAGGGACATTCTTCCCACTGATCACCAATGTAAGGGACATTCTTCCCACTGATCATCAATGTAAGGAGCATTCTTCCCACTGATCACCAATGTAAGGAGCATTCTTCCCACTGATCACCAATGTAAGGGACATTCTTCCCACTGATCACCAATGTAAGGGATATTCTTCCCACTGATCATCAATGTAAGGAGCATTCTTCCCACTGATCACCAATGTAAGGAACATTCTTCCCACTGACCACCAATGTAAGGGACATTCTTCCCACTGATCACCAATGTAAAGGACATTCTTCCCACTGATCACCAATGTAAGGAACATTCTTCCCACTGATCACCAATATAAGCAGCATTCTTCCCACTGACCACCAATGTAAGGAACATTCTTCCCACTGATCACCAATGTAAGGAACATTCTTCCCACTGATCACCAATGTAAGGGACATTCTTCCCACTGATCACCAATGTAAGGAACATTCTTCCCACTGATCACCAATGTAAGGGACATTCTTCCCACTGATCACCAATGTAAGGGACATTCTTCCCACTGACCACCAACGTAAGGGACATTCTTCCCACTGATCCCCAATGTAAGGGACATTCTTCCCACTGACCACCAACGTAAGGGGTCACTGTCCATTGAGATATTTAGCACCATCCATTTTACATACCCTTTAATTCACAGCATTCTCTGCCCTTAAGAGCTTACAAACTAAGGTCCCTATATCACATGTAGCTAAGGCTGGGGTAACACCTACAGGTGTAGCCAAGCGTGAGTGCATTCTCAAGCAGCCTATTCAGTTCAATAGACTACCCTACGTGGAAAAGAAGTCCCTGACCTTTTTCCACAATTACACCGCATCAAACCGCATGGTCAATCAGGTGTGCTGCAGCTTAAGAAGCATGCCCGATTGGAGGAGAGAGCAGAGTGACAGATGATTTTCATCATCTATTACTGTTCATGGGCTGGAGGAGAGACAAATCCTGAAAGGCTTGGTTCATACATACAGGTGCGACCGAGCATGCACACATTTCTGCGCATTCCAGCACATTGCGTGTAGGGCTGCCCTACATGTGAGAAGTGTAGAAAAGTGCCCGACTCTTTCCCAGATTTACACTGCACTGAACCGCATGGTGATTGCTAAAACCTTAGTGTTAGCAGATGGATTGTAATGCCATTACCAACTAATGGCACCGCCACGCATCTGCTAAAGGGCAATGCGTTTCTGTGCATGTCAGGAAAGCGTGCGTCTCCGACGTGCAAAATACTGAACCTAGTGCCAGACTAAGTTGCCACCTGTGGGTGCAGAGCATGCGCGTTGCATATAGGACAGCCCATTTATTTCAATGGGCTGCCCTACATGCGAGAGATGCGGCAAAGACGTCTCCAAAATCGCACCATGGCAAATCTCATGGTGCTGCAGCACCATTCTGTTCAGTGCGGCGTAAATTTGGAAAAGGGTCAGGCACTTCTTTTGTGCGTTTCTCGCGCGTAGGGCAGGTTCTTACAAAAATTCATGTGTTAGCGGTGCATGGGGGTGCTATAACGTAATGCTAAAGGGCATCGCGTTTCTATGTGGCATTTTCACATGCATTCCTGATACACTAGCATCTGGCTAGATTCACACCTACAGGTGTGACCAAGCCTGCATACATGTCCAGAAGCCCATTCAATTCAATGGGCTGCTCTACCCATGTGAAATGAAGAAAAGTCCCTGACCCTTTTCCAAAATTGCGCCGCATAGAACCGCTGCAGCAACATGCGGTTTGCCGTGTGCAAAAATATGTGCTTTAACAGATGCGTGGGAGTGCTGTTAACAATAAATAGCCCCGCCGCGTGTGTGTTAAAGGGCAGCGCGTTTCTATGCGCATCCGGAAAGCATGCAATTTTTGGCACATTCCCGACACACATAGATATGAACCTAGCTTTATGCAGGCCATAGACGGTTCATTTATCGGCCGAAAGAATAGTCAGCCGATTTTTGCACTGTTAGTGGGGCAATGGCATCGGCCGATTTTCGTAGTTCCTCCTCATTTCGTTTATCGGTTATGCTGGAAAATTTGTGAAAAACAGCCAATTTTTGCAATCATTGGTGGCAACATCGGTTTACAGAACGAACGATGTTTTGTTTTTCGGACGAAAAATCGGCCGATAAATGAACCGTCTATGGCCTGCATTAGATAGGAGCCAATTAACCTACCAATTGGGTAACCCACACAAGCCTAGGGAGAGCATGCAGATAGGGTCCTGGCTCATATGTGAACCAGATCCCCGGTGCTGCGAGGCAGGGGTGCTACCTACTGAGCCCCTGTGTTCTAATATTCCAGACGAATTACCCTATAAATGATTGACCCTGGTGCCACTGTTACTGGTTTACACATAAAAGCTTTAGGCTGGAAAGTACCGCCGTGGGGTTGGCGTACTGTTTGTTCTCAACGTTAGGAATTAACAGCCAATGTTGTGTTTTACAGTTAATATTCAGCACTTTTGTACATGAACTTATCTGAAATGACTTTTTTTTTTCTTTTTATTGCAGCCTTTCCATCCCATGGTGAACCTGGAATGTTCCAGAGACTTCCGGCCTTTTCTGTGCGCACTCTACGCGCCCGTCTGCACGGAGTACGGGCGGGTCACACTGCCGTGCCGCAGGCTGTGTCAACGGGCGTACAACGAGTGCTTCAAGCTCATGGATATGTTTGGTGTTCCGTGGCCAGAGGATATGGAATGTAGCCGGTAACGTAATGTTCTGAATTAAGATTAGAAATGTCCTAGATTAGCCTGTTCTCTCACACTGCAGTGCTCTGTGCTGGCAGAGCTGAGTAGTAGCCACACCCTTCAGTGTGCTCACAGACTTGTATTGCTGAGGAGGAGAGGGGGCGTGTCTAACCAGGTCTATTACTGAGTGTTGATTTTAGAGTGCCCTGGTTCTAAAGCTTGGTACACACGGTAAGTTTTTGGAGGTTGCTGTACTAACGATGCGATTTTAGTACAGCGTTCTTCCCGCTGAGCTATTGTGTTCTAACAGGGGGTCCGCTCCCTGCCAGTACACTGGTCAGTGCTCACAGGCATTGGCTAAGAGCGCTGATCGGATGCCAATCGGCTGCTGGCTTTTCAGCAAGCTTGTTCGACAGAAGCCGGCCCAGAGATTGGCTTCTGTCAAACAAGGGCCTGTACCCACGGGCCAAATGTCAGCCATTATCTACTGTGCCGGCTGATCTGTGTACGAGGCTTTACTCTGGTGCGTATCTGACCGCACAGTTATATTTAGACACCCTGTACACCCGCTGTAATGGAATTCTTACTACATTCTCTTTATCACTGTAAATTTCTTTGACTTCAAGGACAAGTTCACCTTTTAACCACTAGCCTACAGGGCACTTACACCCCCTTCCTGCACAGGCCAATTTCCAGCTTTCAGCGCTGTCGCACTTTGAATGACAATTGCGCGGTCATGCAACACTGTACCCATATGAACTTTTTATCATCTTCTTGAGACAGAGCTTTTTTTATGTGGTATTTAATCACCTCTGGGATTTTTATTTTTTCTTAAACAAACCAAAAACCACTGAAAATTTTGAAAAAAAAACATTTTTTCTTAGTTTTTGTTATACAATTTTGTAAATAAGTGATTTTTCTCCTTCACTGATGTGCGCTAATGAGGCTGCAGTGATGGGCACCGATAGGCTGCACTGATGGACACTGATAGGTGGCACTGATGGGCACTGATGAAGAGGCACTGGTAGGTTGCACTGATGGACATTGACAGGCACCACTGATAGGCACTGAAAGGCAGCACTGATACATGACACTGATATATGGCACTGATAGGCGGCACTGATAGGCAGCACTGACTGGAACTGATAGGCGGCACTGATGCGCACTGATAGGCGACACTGACTGGCACTGATAGGTGGCACTGATTGGCAGCACTGATAGGTGGCACTGATTGGCATTGATAGGTGGCACTGACTGGCACTGATGGGTGACATTGAAAGGCAGCTCAGATGGTCACTGATATGTGGCATTGATGTGCACTGGTATGCACTGATATGTGGCATTGATGTGGCACTGATGGGCACTGGCACGTGGCACTGATGAGCACTGACTGCTGGCACTGATGGACACTGACAGGTGGTACTTCTGGGGCCACACTGATCATCAGGGCACACTGATCATCAGTGCCCTGATGATCAATGTACATGTCCCCTCCGCGGAAAGCCGATTACCGGCTCTCCTCACCTCTCGAGCTGTCAGCGTGACAGCTCGAGAGGAGAGAAATGCCGATAACCGGCATTTCCGTGTTTACATGTGATCAGCTGTGATTGGACACAGCTGATCACATGACCGAGCCGACATCTTCGGCTCTTTCCGTGATCCGCTGTGTCCGAGGGACACAGCGCACCGGCGATCGCCGCGCTGCTTGCTCCCTGAGCCGTGCATGCGCGGTGAGAATGGAAGGACTATCAGAACGAGAGAACCACCTTGCGCCCATCGTTGGACTATATGGCGGGCGGAAGGTGGTTAACAAAAAATAATAAATGCACTTTTTTTTGTTCAGGTAAACAAATGTGCATTTATTATTTTTTGTTTCTGTCAGTGTATCTGTGTGCCCGTATAACTGCTACGGGCAAGCAAATTCTTACTGACAGGGAGACTCAACAAACTACCATGGTGCTCCATAGTGTCGTGGTAGTTCATTGAAAATTGCAAGCCAACAGCAAAGGCAACGAATGAGTGAGCCACGCACGGCTGAGTGTTCTTAAAATTGTGACAGACAGCAGTGGGGAGAGGATCCCCTGCTAGCTGTCACAATGGGGATCCTGGGGGTGCGGACACCGTTCCATTCATTACATGTTACGCCGTGAATATGGATGTAACATGTTACAAAAGGTGAACTTATCCAATAAAGGGCTTGCTTACCCTTGCGGTTGGGTTGAGGCGGTAAAAACAAGTAGCAGAGCTGCATTTTTGCTGTTCCCCTTTGAGCTGGGGGTGTTACATTCCATGGCCAGAATAGTTTGGTTCATTATACCCCCTGCCATGTTAGGCTGGCTCTACCACCTGCCAAAGACAACCCATTAAAGTGAACGGGGCCAAGTTGCAATCGCAGAGAATGCACACCATAGTGCGGCATTCATTTAGAGCAGAGGTCTCCAAACTGGGGCGTGGGGGCTGGATGTGGCCCTTTGCTTCAGTTTATCTGGCCCTTGGGACACTATTCCACCAACTGTCACCAATGATGGAGCACCATTCCCCCTACTAACACCATCAATGGGGCATTATATTTCTCACTGATATCAACAATGGGGCACTCTTCCTCCCTTTAAAATCAATGATTGGGCACTGATGCCAGGACATTTTGTACTCCCACTGGCTACAGTCCGGCCCCCCTAAAGTCTGAGGGACAGTAAACTGGCCCTTTGCATAGAAAGTTTGGAGACCCCTTATTTAGAGGGTTAAAACGGCCAGTGCGGAGGCCACATATTGCCTCCCCACCGCCTGTCAAACACCTCTGAAAAGCAACCCAAACATGGATTTCTTTTCAAAGGAAGTCCTCTGTTGCTAGTTGTAAATGAGTCCTAATGTTTAACTCCAGGCTCCTCTCCTGTACTGAAATGGCTTGCTCTGATTATACTACACACTGTGAGCTTCTCACAATGTGCATTAGAAGCTGCAGCAACTCAGATAGCTTTCACCTCATTTTCTGGTTGGAGGATGTCCAACATTATTTTGATCTTTCCACCCCATCCTAATTGTCAGTTAGCGCTTCTAGATCCTGAATTTAAAGTTACAGAATTTAAAAGGGCTGTCCGGCCATGTTTGCAAATAATGTTAGTATAGAGTCCAGAGGGCTTCATAATGAACTCTGAATATATGTCTTTCTAAGAAAAATGATGGTTTATCAGAGTAGGATTCTTAATGACACCCCCCCACACATCTGTTAACATGCACGCCAAAACGCATGATATCGCACCACCATGCATTTTTGGTACAGCATGATTTTGCAAAAAGTTCAGGAACGTTTCCATTTTCTGTGTGTAGGGAAATGAATGGCCTGCTCTACACACGGTGCGTAGAAAACATGGGCGCGCTCCGTTGCACATGCATGGCTTGAATGGAGCCTTACATTAATGGCAAGGACTGCCACTGCTCTAAAAAGTGATCTGCAGTGCCTGGTTAAACTCCCCCTAAATGCTGCACTACCGTAGTTGGAGCACGGCTTTATTCCCTCATCTGAATAAGCCCTAAAATGTCACCTCTGATTGCCACAGGCTTTTCCTCTTCATTCGTTTTCTGAATAAGCTCTAAAATGGCACCTGCGAACACAACAATCTATCTGCCCTTATTTACTGTCTGAGCACCAAAACGCCACCGCTGAGCGCAACAAGTTATCCGCCCCTATTTGCTGTCTGATAAATCCTAAAACACCGCTTCTGAATGTAACAAGTTATCCGGCCGCATTCGCTATTTGAATGAGACCTGATATGCCACCTCTGAATATAAAAAGCTATCCACCCTCATTCGCTGTTTGAATGAGACCTGATATGCCACCTCCTGAACACAACAAGCTATCCGTCCTCATTCACTGTTTGAATGAGCTTTAATATGCCACCTCTGAATGTAACCAGCTAGCCGCCCTCATTCGCTATTTGAATGAGACCTGTTAGCCACCTCTGAATATGAAAAAGCTATCCACCCTCATTCACTGTTTGAATGAGCTTTAATATGCCACCTCTGAACGTAACAAGCTATCCGCCCTCATTCGCTGTTTGAATGAGCTTTAATATGCCACCTCTGAATGTAACAAGCTAGCCGCCCTCATTCGCTATTTGAATGAGACCTGATATGCCACCTCTGAATATGAAAAGCTATCCACCCTCATTCACTGTTTGAATGAGCTTTAATATGCCACCTCTGAACGTAACAAGCTATCCGCCCTCATTCGCTGTTTGAATGAGCTTTAATATGCCACCTCTGAACGTAACAAGCTATCCGCCCTCATTCGCTGTTTGAATGAGCTTTAATATGCCACCTCTGAACGTAACCAGCTAGCCGCCCTCATTCGCTGTTTGAATGAGCCCTAATATGCCACCTCTAAATATAACAAGCAATCCGCCCTCATTCTCTGTTTGAATGAGCCCTAATATGCCACCTCTGAACATAACAAGCTATCCGCCCTCATTCACTGTTTGAATGAGCCCTAATATGCCACCTCTGAACATAACAAGCTATCCGCCCTCATTCAGTGTTTGAATGAGACCTGATATGCCACCTCCTGAACACAACAAGCTATCCGCCCTCATTCACTGTTTGAATGAGCCCTAATATGCCACCTCTGAATGAACACAAGTTATCCGTCCGCATTCGCTGTTTGAATGAGACCTGATATGCCACCTCTGAACATAACAAGCTATCCGCTCTCATTCGCTGTCTGAATGAGCCCTAATATGCCACCTCTGAACACAATAAGCTATGAGCAATCATTCGCCGTTTGCATAAGCCCTAATACGCCACCTCTGAATGCAACAAGCGAATCTGTCCTCATTTACAGTCTGAATGAGCCCTAAGGAGATAGTTGTATTGAATTTGATAGGAACTGGCCTGCACTGGGAAGAATGCATTTCTGTAGTGGGAGGCCAAGCTGGAGACAGCTGGAACACAGCGCGGTGTCATAAATTAAAGCGGAGGGGAAAGGTCAGGGCAGGAACAGTCTACTTTTAGTGCCTCGGAAACAAAATACTTTCTGTCACGGTGCTAAAATATACTTTCTGTTTTGGGAACAATAGAGAGACCACATGAAAACCACAGCAGCGTCCTGACATGCTCGGTCGCGTCCCCGCGTTATAAAGTTATAGAATGATCTCACGCCAATTACCTGATGGGAAGGTTTAGCTTAAATGAATGTGTCGAGGAATCCAAGGTATTTATGGGGCAAAAGAGAGCCATAATACAACAGAAGAACATGGTATAAAGGCTTATTAATTTATTTCAGGTACTTCTATAGCGCCGTCAATCTACACAGCGCTTTACATGTATATTGTACATTCACATCAGTCCCTAACCCTCAAGGGGCCCCTAACTTACATTCATACATACACATACTAGGGCCAATTTAGACAGGAGCCAATTCACCTACCAGCATGTCTTTGTAGTGTGGGAGGAAACCAGAGTACCCGGAGGAAACCCACTCAGGCACAGGGAGAACATCTCCAGGCAGGTGGTGCCGTGGCTGGGATTTGAACCAACGACTCGAGTACTGCCAGGCAGAAGTGCTAACCATTTAGCCACTGTACTTGTGATTCAGTGGGTCTAAAATAAACTAAAATAACACTATGCCCCCTCCCGGTCTCTGGACCACCCCACTACTTGCAAACCAACCCCAGACAAAAGTTGGATTTTACCAAACGATACCTAAATCAGCCAGTGCTGAATAACCCCTGCACATAAAAACACTTAAAACATGGAGACACAACTTATCCCTCAAATGTCAAGAATTTTGAAATAATCATATATAAATCAATAAAACAGGGCATGTTGAGACATTGTTAAGATCAAAACTGGGGCTGTCTATATTAGAGAAAATTACCCTCTACCTCTATGGTCAGTCTTCTCCCCTTCCCTGGTGATCACTCAGACTGTACCTTGTTTCTTTGTAGGTGAGAGGCTGCAGCATGGGGCTGAGCTGTGTCCGACGTGTGTGAATACTCCCAGGCACTAGCTACCCTCAGCTGACATCTCCATGCAGGAAGTAGATGGTGGCCCTAGATGATGCCTGAACAAAGACGGCACTGTCTTTCTGCAGATGAAGGCATTGTCGGGGAGTACTGTGATCTGCCATTACTGAGCATGTATGGGCTACCCATGAAAAATGTGTCCTTTTCTCAGGAACCTTTTCTTAGGCACACCATGCTCCATGTTCATAAGCTGTATGTTATTACCCAGCATCGCTTCCAGTTTGGAGTTTGGGAGGAAACCCACGCAGGCACAGGAAGAACATGCAAACTCCAGGCAGGTAGTTGGGATTTGAACCAACGACCCTAGTGCTGCCAGGCAGGACCACTTAACCACTGTGCTGAAATTTGCAGTTAGTAAATTGTTGAACAAATAGTTTGTGGCATAAATAAATTGGAACTTCCACTATTTTATTCTCCAGGATCTCTGCTTTAAAAAAAATATATGATGTTTGGGGGTTTTAACCAGTCCGCCGGCCTAAAATTAATATTTTTTTCTTTCTGCTTGCATAGCAACCCCATTTACTTGAATGGGTAGTTACAAGGGGTATAATTCCTGCCACGGCCATAGCATGTGTACACTCCCAGCCAAACAGAAAGTGGTGGTGGTGGTAGGGGGAGGGGGGTTGGGGTATGTATAAATACAGTCAGGGGCGGACTGACAACTCATGGGGCCCCCGGGCAATAGGGGATCATGGGGCCCCTGTGTCCTTGCCAAAACTCAAAAAAGCCTATGAAAAAGGTACCAGGGGCATCTCATGGGGCCCCCTACTGACCCCGAGCCCTCGGGCAGTGCTTGAGTTTCCAAATGGTCAGTCTGCCCCTGAACACAGCTCAACCACTGGGGTTTACTGCCCTCTCAACCACTAGTGTGGATGAGCCCTAAAACTCCCTAGAGTCCTCCACCATCAGAAATCTGGATCCTGCACAGTCTGGCCCCATAACAATCTTATGAGTGAACAATGATGGAATAAAGAAAATAGAGGGGCACTTAGATCCATGTCCAACCAGCAATTTTGTAGCAGCTGGCAATTTGGCGATGTGTCGCTAAGAAGCGATTCGTCCCTGCTACAGTTTGAGCTAGCATTGGGTATTGTGCCCTGCTACAAAGAAGAAGGAGATGGTGGTGAACCAATAGCCCGTTGGACCTGGCTCTTAGCAGGCATCTAAGAAGCGTTTTTGGTTGCAATGCTGTGTTTTTCGGGGCTGAAATTGGATAGCACCTGTCGGTACACAACCCCCCACTGTGAGAAACGATAACAACGTGTGGAAAAGAGCTTGCCCTGTCCATAAATAGAGTTTGCTGCCTGTCTCGGGTGCCAGGGGTCAGAGAATGGAGCAGATTGTTCAGTCATAAAAGCCAAAATCCTCCAGCCCCAGTCTCACATAACTGTGATTGCTCTCAGCACCATGACTGATTGAAGTATGACATACTTGTGTTTATAGAGGCTGCAGATCTTTTTGAGAAAAGCTTGTGGGAATCTAAAAAAAATCTAATTCTTGCTTTCTGGGCCACTGCATGCTGAAAACTCAACCCAAAAATTTTTTTTTTTTTTTTTTTTTTTTTTTCATCTGATAAAGGGTTTGTCCATATTATGGAAAATCACCCTCACTTCCTGTATGGGCAGTTTTGTACTCATCCCCGATGATCACTGCAGCAGGGGGCTGAGCTGTGTCAGAAGTTTGTGAGCAACAAACGGGTTGGGCTTTAAATTCTTCCCCACTCTGTCCAAAAAGGATCATCTGGAATTAAACATTAGTTTTTAAACTATTGTTAAAATGTTCTCGATTCTTCTTCATCTCTGAAAACAAAAATTTACTTGTGTGCAATACCTCGTCTCTCTTAAAATAATTTAAAGCCCAGTTCCATGTTGGAATGAAAATGCACAACCCAGTACCTTCCTGTTCCCTGCCCATAGTGCTGTTATTTAACAAGAACACCTCTACCTATCTGAATATCATCCTTCTAGAAACACTACCCTGATGATCTTCTGGTTATGAATTAGCAGCATCCTGTGGGTGGATTAGAGTGCTGGGTAATGGCCACACCTCCTGTATTCTGGAGGACTGCAGGGGTGGAGCCATGACTTTCTGTGAACTGACATCCAGGTTGAGTGAGGCTAGCCGTCAGTCAACTTGGAAGTGAGATGGCAGCTGTTGGGCTTTCTGCATGGGACAGCTCCAGGGAGAAGGTGAGTATTGCATCGAAAATTACACCTCTACCTATCTGAATATCATCCTTCTAGAAACATTGCCCTGATGATCTTCTGGTTATGAATTGGCAGCATCCTGAGGGTGGTTTAGAGTGTTCGCCGACAATGCTGGGTAATGGCTACACCTTCTGTACTCTGGAGGACTGCAGGGGTGGAGCCATGACTTTCTGTGAACTGACTTCCAGGTTGAAACTTGGAAGTGGGATGGCAGCTGTTGGGCTTTCCGCATGGGACAGCTCCAGGGAGAAGGTGAGTATTGCATAGAAAATTACACCTCTACCTATCTGAATATCATCCTTCTAGAAACACTACCCTGATGATCTTCTGGTTATGAATTGGCAGCATCCTAAGGGTGGATTAGAGTGTTTGCCGAGAATGCTAGGTATTGGCTACACCTTCTGTACTCTGGAGGACTGCAGGGGTGGAGCCATGACTTTCTGTGAACTGACTTCCAGGTTGAGTGAGGCTAGCCGTCAGTCAACTTGGAAGTGGGATAGCAGCTGTTGGGCTTTCCGCATGGGACAGCTCCAGGGAGAAGGTGAGTATTGCATCGAAAATTACACCTCTACCTATCTGAATATCATCCTTCTAGAAACATTGCCCTGATGATCTTCTGGTTATGAATTGGCAGCATCCTGAGGGTGGATTAGAGTGTTTGCCGACAATGCTGGGTAATGGCTACACCTCCTGTACTCTGGAGGACTGCAGGGGTGGAGCCATGACTTTCTGTGAACTGACTTCCAGGTTGAGTGAGGCTAGCCGTCAGTCAAGCTGGAAGTGGGACAGCAGCTGTTGGGCTTTCTGCATGGGACAGCTCCGGGGAGAAGGTGAGTATTGCATGGAAAATTACAGGAGTTAAGAACTTTTTATTTTGAAGGTGAAGTTGGGCTTGAAAATGTCCTTATTAGGAGGTAATTTGTTTTTTCTTGGATTTCAGGTTCCCTGATTGTGATGAACCCTACCCTCGGATGGTGGACCTCAGCGTTTCCAAGGAGCCCACGGACGACACCCCACTAGGAGTGCAAAGAGACTATGGCTTCTGGTGCCCCAGGGAGCTTAAAATTGACCCCGAGTTGGGTTACTCCTTTTTGGGAGTACGTGACTGTTCTCCACCCTGTCCACACATGTACTTCAGAAGGGAAGAACTGTCCTTTGCTCGATATTTTATTGGAGTTATTTCTATAGTCTGCCTTTCAGCTACCTTGTTCACCTTTTTGACGTTTCTCATTGATGTGACCAGGTTCCGGTACCCAGAAAAGACCCATCATATTCTACGCCGTCTGTTACATGATGGTCTCGTTGATTTTCTTCATTGGGTTCCTACTGGAGGATCGCGTGGCTTGCAACACTGCCAGCCCCACCCAGTACAAGGCCTCCACTGTAACCCAAGGATCTCACAACAAGGCTTGCACCATGCTCTTCATGGTTCTGTACTTCTTCACCATGGCTGGCAGTGTTTGGTGGGTAATCCTCACCATTACCTGGTTCTTGGCAGCTGTTCCAAAATGGGGGAGTGAAGCCATTGAGAAGAAGGCACTGTTGTTTCACGCCAGCGCGTGGGGCATCCCGGGTACCCTTACAATCATCCTTCTTGCCATGAACAAAATCGAAGGGGACAACATCAGTGGAGTTTGTTTTGTTGGCCTGTACGACGTTCATGCCTTGAGATACTTTGTCCTAGCGCCCCTCTGCCTGAATGTTGTGGTTGGTGTGACTCTACTCTTAGCTGGGATTATTTCTTTGAACCGAGTGCGGATTGAAATCCCACTGGAGAAAGAAAACCAGGACAAGTTGGTGAAATTTATGATCCGCATTGGCGTGTTTAGCATTTTGTACCTTGTGCCCCTCTTGGTGGTGATTGGCTGCTATTTCTATGAGCAGGCTTACCGGGGGGTGTGGGAGACCACATGGATTCAGGAGCGATGCAAAGAATATCACATCCCATGCCCTTACCAGGTAAGGCTTCTTTCATTGTTAATTTGCTATGGATTAATATTTCATCTTAAAATCACACTTATCTGAAACATTTATTTTGCTTAAAGCTGAACTCCAATGCTCGGGGTTGTTATAGCGACCAATGACACCTGTGCTGGGGGTTATTATTGTGACCACTGGCACCAATGCTGGGGTTATTATTGTGACCATTGGCATCAATGCTGGGGTTATTATTGTGAACACTGGCACCAATGCTGGGGTTATTATTGTGCCACTGGCACCAATGCTGGGGTTATTATTGTGACCATTGGCACCAATGCTGGGGTTATTATTGTGACCATTGGCATCAATGCTGGGCTTATTATTGTGACCATTGGCATCAATGCTGGGGTTATTATTGTGACCACTGGCACCAATGCTAAGGTTATTATTGTGACCATTGGCATCAATGCTGGGGTTATTATTGTGACCACTGGCACCAATGCTGGAGTTATTATTGTGACCATCACCAATGCTGGATGTTATTGTGACCATTGGCATCAATGCTGGGGTTATTATTGTGACCACTGGCATCAATGCTGGGGTTATTATTGTGACCACTGGCACCAATGCTGGGGTTATTATTGTGACCACTGGCACCAATGCTGGGGTTATTATTGTGACCACTGGCACCAATGCTGCGGTTATTTGTGTGACCATTGGCATCAATGCAGGGGGTTATTATGACCACTGGCACCAGTGCTGAAGGTTATTATTGTGACAGCTGGCACCAATGCTGGGGGTAATGATTGCAGTGACTGGCACCAATGCTAAGCTTTCTTATTGTGTGGTGAGTGACGTCAGTGCTGAGGGTTATTATTGCAGGCACTGGCACCAATGCAGAGAATTAATAATACTTTAATTTATACCAATGCTAGGTGGTTTTATTGAGGTGACTGACACCAATGCTGGGGTATTTATTGATTCCACTAACACCAGTGTTTGGGTTATAATTGGGGCCACTGACACCAATTCTGGGTGCTGGGTTTATTATGTCCAGAACACCAATTTTGGGAGTTATTATTGAGGTGACTGACACCAATGCTTGGGGGTAATTATTAGATTCACTAATACCAGAGCTGAGGGCTATTACTGAGGCCATGAACACCAATGGTGGAGTTAAAATTCCTGCCATTGATGCCAGCAATGAATACTGACACCCACAGGCTTATTTTACTCCCACTTTTTTCTCCAGCATGTGTTAAAAAAAATGTAGCAGGACCAAATTTGTTTTATAGCTTGGATGCGTTACAGCCTACTAACATAAATGGGTTGCCTAACTCAATGCAATGTACTTTAATGCACAAAAACAAGTTGATATTTTGAAGCCCTCTAAAAGTGAACATTTTCAAGTTGGCCACCACTGCTCTATGAGTTTGGTATTATTGTAGTAGTATTATTGTAGTGTCCTGTTCAATATTCTCTTTTCTTAACCATTTCAAGTCCGGACACTTTTACCCCCTTCCTGTCCAGGCCAATTTTCAGTTTTCAGCGCTATCACACTTTGAATGGCAATTGCGTGGTCATGCAACACTGTACCCATATGAATTTTTTTTTTTGCATTTTTTTGAGACAGATAAAATGTTATTTTGGTAGTATTTATTCGCCACTGGGATTTTTATTTTTTTTGCTATATAAATGAACAAGTCCAAAATTTTGAAAAAAAGTGCTTTATTTATAAAATTTTGCAAATAAATAATATTTCATCATAAATCTTGGCCAAAATTTATTCAGTTATCTTTTTAGTAAAAAAAAAAATAATCCAAATTAGTTTATACCCAAAAATTTAAATTTTTCTAAATTTTTTTTTACATTTTTATTTTTTTATATTATTATTTATGTTTTTGATTTTTTTTTACATACTGGCACCCTAGCAGTACAGTGTCACCATAGTGACACTGTACTACTTGGGGGTGATGAAGATTTTTTTTTTTTTTTAACACTGATTGCTTTTACACCTATAAAGGCTGTAAAAGCAATCATTTCTCCTTCTCTTTCTGCAGCCATTAAGAAATACCATGTGAGCTGTAATTGGTCACAGCTTGTCACATGGTACAAGGCTGTTGTGAATAGCCATGTACCATGTGACCTCTGTGATCATTCACAGATTTCACACGTAGTAAGCAATGATATCAGAAGTGACATCTTGCTTACTACTCTGCATGTGATCACTGATTGGCCAAAATGTATTCAGTTATCTTTTTAGTAAAAAAAAAAAAACCCAAATTAGTTTATACCCAAAAATTATAATTTTTCTACTTTTTTTTTTTTTTACGTTTTTTTTATTTTATTTTTTTATATTATTAATGTTTTTGATTTTTTTTTTTACATACTGGCACCCTAGCAGTACAGTGTCACCATAGTGACACTGTACTACTTGTGGGGGGTGATGAAGATTTTTTTTTTTTTTAACACTGATTGCTTTTACACCCATAAAGCCTGTAAAAGCAATCATTTCTCCTTCTCTCTGGCTGCATTCTTGCAGCCATTGAGAAATACCGTGTGAGCTGTAATTGGTCACAGCTTGTCACATGGTACAAGGCTGTTGTGAATAGCCTTGTACCATGTGACCTCTGTGATCATTCACAGATTTCACACGTAGTAAGCAATGATGGCAGAAGTGACATCTTGCTTACTACTCTTCATGTGATCACTGATTGGCCAATCAGTGATCACATGATCGGGACCTCACACAGAGGTCCCGTATAACGATCAGTGTTCCACTGTCTGGAGGACACAGCGGACACCGGATCAATTTATAAATGGCCACCCGCCCCTGCACTGCTCCCGTCCAGCCGTTTATATACATGGGCTGGACGGAAAGTGGTTAAAAAAATTAAATAAAACATATATATAAATTATAATACAGGATTTACATAGCAACAGTTTGCGCAGCGCCTTACAAAATGAAGGTAGACAGTTACAATACAATGTGGTACAAGAGGAAACAGAGGGATCTGCTCGTTAGAGCTTACAATGTAGGATATATATATATATATATATATATATATATATATATATTATAATTTTTTTTTTTTTTAGATATATATATATATATATATATATATATATATATATATATATATATATATTAAAATGCAGGTGTTTCAACGTTAATGCATTGTTTGGAAATGGCAAGGCAATCCCCTTTCATGTTTGTACATTATTGCCATTTTCTGACTTCGCTGAGATGTTTTTGCAGTATATTAAAGTGCACATTTAGATTCCTTAGATTAATGATGTAGCTTTCAGACTAAATATTCAATAAGGTGTTTTATTACATTACAGTAATGTTTGCAGCGTGTATTGTAGACCAGGTTCAGCAGCATGCGATACTGTAAATGACCTTTTAATAGATTTGGCACGCTCCCCGCATGGAGTGCAGTAAGAAAGGAGGAATTGTTTCTTGGGACCCGTCTCAACTGCTCGTTCTGCTTTTAAGTCACTCAGCACCGGGCTCTGTAAATAACTCTTAAAGGAAGTATGACCATTGCAAAACATTAAAGGACTAATATTGTATTTCGTCCAACAATGAGAGGAACCTGTAAAGTTCACCCATGTCAAAAAACTAAGAATTCTTGCATTTAATCTAGCTCTAAGGAGAGGCCATACCTGCGGCTACAATTTTTATTTAGAAATTCATCTTTTACACCTGGTTGCCCTGCACCTGGCTATCAGGCTGTCTTATAGGAGAGGAAAGGAGGCCAGGTCCGTGATAAGGTGGCTCATAGAGAACAGGAGGCCAGGTCTGTGGTAAGGTGGCTCATGGAGAAGAACAGGAGGCCAGGTCTGTGACAAGGTAGCTTATAGAGGAGGACATGAGGCTGAGTGTGCATCAAAGTGACTTATAGAGGAGGATAGGATGCAGGATGACAAGATGGCTCATAGAGGAAAACAGGAGGCCAGCTCTGCATAAAGGTGGCATGTAGAGGAGGAAAGGAGGCCAGGTCTGTGACAAGGTAGCTCACAGCGGTGACTTATAGAGGAGAGCAGCATGAAATGTGACAAGGTGGCTCATAGAGGAAGAAAGGAGGTCACATTTGTGCCAAAGTGGCTCATAGAGGAGGACAGGCTGGGTCTGCATTGAGGTGACTTATATAAGAGGGCAGGATGCCGGGTGTCAAGGTGGCTCACACAGGAAGATAAAAGACCAGGTCTGTATCAAGGTGGCTCATAGAGGAGGACAAGAGGCCAGGTTTGTGTCAAGGTGGCTTATAGAGCAAGATTGGATGCCTGGTCTGTGTCAAGATAGATTGGAGAGAAGAACAGGAGACCAAGTCTGTGTTTAGGTGGCCAAAAGCAGCCCTGATTCACCACCAGCAATGACCATGCTGGCTAAGAGCACCTCCTACCATCCTCCTGTAACAATAATGGAATAGGGCATGCACACACCTTTAACAAGCTAAAACTCCATCATCTTAGGTCACTCACATTCTCCTGGCCTGAGGCCCTCAAACAAGAATGTCCAAACTTTTAGCTGTTTAGCAATTTACTGTAACAGAGGCAGGATGTACAGTTCTTTACATCGTGACCTTCATCTCCACTATTCCAGACCCAGCATACTGATTCTGCACAGTTCAAGGCCAAAACAAACTCAGAATAACTGCCCAACTTTTCCACTGTCCTTACTGCAGGTCACCGATAGGTGGGTTCTCCAAAGAAGTCTGTTACGAGCCTACCCTAAAGGATTCACTTCCTAAGTCCACAGGTCTACATATCTGTATACCAGAGGTAGTCTGTTTCCTTCACTCTCTGCCCCAGGCTCTTCCAGCTTATTTATGAAAGGTTAGCCTGACCTACCATATCCACCCAGGGGAGTGACCTCAATAAAATGAGCACTAACCCCTGCTTACATGGCTCATAGAGGAGGACAGGTCTCTGTTAAGCTGGCACATAAAGGTGGACTAGGGAATGGTTTCTATGTCGAGCAGGCTCAGTGGGGGATTGTGTAGGGGCTGGAGGTCTTGACTAGTGCACCAGAG